CGGGGTCGTCTAAAGCCGTGTACCTTTACATATAGATCTACATATTGCATAAATTCTGTTCTTGATATCTATATATAACTAAAACTATTAACTGCATCAAAAAAAACTAACCCTAAGGTACACGGCTTTAGCCATCCCCTTTATCCGGGTATGATCGACACATTATCCGAGGTACATCAATAGCCAATCAAAATGAACTTCCACTATGCTGTAAAAATTACATATTACCCCAAGAAGTTTATTACTTAATGCGGATCGTTATTGGATCTTAAAATGGAACTGCAATTTGCATATAATAATAGGGCAAATTGCAGGCCGTTTCCACTGTTAACAATTTTGCCGCTTTATCATCAATTTGTGAATTTAGAGATTAAAAGATGTCGGGAGAAGAGTCTTCAATATTTGTCATCATCTTATATCAGGCGATGTTCCTTTTTACCGGATTTTATCAAACAATCTCTGCACAATATTTATACTATCAAGGAGCTGCTAGTAAGAATTTTTAACATTGTCTTCCTTTTATTAAAAATTAGTAGTTTACAGTGGCTTTTCTTTTTTTCAGGTGGAACAAGGTATTGTCATATTTGTTGTAAGGACATTAAAAAATTTATCAGGCTCCATAGCATTACAACATATTATTTTGTAGCCTTCTCACAAACACTGCACAGTATATCGGAACTGCGTTAGTTGGGTTGTTGCTTATACCTAAATGGTGGGCTAATAGGAAAGGATCAAGAAATATGGAATTCACTATGGTGAATATCGGCCAAATCAAGGTTGTTTATGTACTTAGAATTATATCGAAATTAATCCTTGTCATTTTGTATTTCCGGAATTTATAAGGATATCCATTCGGACAAGTTTATTAGATTGTTTACACCTATTCGATTACAATAATTTTTCTCAAATCACTTCCTGTTAGGCAACTGAAGTTCAAAAAGAATATCAATTATTACCAAGTGGTGATGCAGAAGATACTTTTGAAGATACTTTAGAAAATACGGATAGCGAATTTTCAAATCAGAAAGAAGTTGTAAACTATAATTTTATTGTGGCTGCATCGTTATTGGACGTTACGGCTAATTTTGCATTAACAATAGGTTTTTTCTATGTTGGAAGTGGGGTAAGCTAATTTTTCATAGCCATTCATACGAATCTTATTAGTACAACTAACATTTACCCGATTTCTATCGTTATATATATAACAAGATGTTTCAAGTAATTTACAGTTCTGTAGTCATCTGGTGTGCTATTCTTTCATTTATTTTTCTCGGAAGAAAACTTTTATTAGTACAATCGCTATGTATTATTGGTGTATTCATCGGGCTTGCCCTTAGCGCACTGGGAATTTCTCAAAACGAGGAAGATCAACATACAACACCGCCACCTGCAACTGCTACTGGTCCTACAGTACTTCACTCTTTCAATATGTCATCTACAATGTTTGGAATGATCTTGACATCATTTGCTACTTTTGGATATGCTTGCGTTTACGTTGTATCCGACCAAATATTTGTTGTTCGCGTTCCAAATGAACTTCCGCCCTCTCCAGAAAGAGCATGCTTCTTGGTAGGAAGTTGCTGTTCATGTTTGTCTATGCTATATGTAATATTTCATACAATTCCCAATTGGAACTCACTTGTAACGGAAGAAATTGCAAAGAAAGCCGAGCATATAGACACCTTCACAATAATAATTATATATTTGGTACTAATATTTGCATCATTTATTCATAACCTTGCTTATTATCAGCTGATTAAACGAATTGGCAATGTCTCTACTGGATTGTTAAATTCTATTAGAGCAATCGTAGTATTTGGACTTAGTCACACGATGTTTTGTGAATTTGATAGTGGTCAATGCTTTAACGTTTGGAAAGGGTGGAGTACGTTTATAGTAGTTGGATGTGTGACTATTTTTTCTTTAAGCAAATTGCATGAGAATAAGAAATGATGGTGTTGAACTCTCCAGAAAATTATTAGATTTAACAGGCTAGAAAATTTATATAAATTTATTATATCGTTGGCAATGTTTTAAATATATAAAGTTCGTGAAAGACATTTCTATGCATTTAGATAGCATTGATAATCTCAAATTTTGGCATAGCATTATA